TCTGGAGGAGGAGTGGTGGTGGAAAGTACAGTGCCTGCACTCTGGAGGAGGAGTGGTGGTGGTGGAAAGTACAGGGCCTGCACTCTGAAGGAGGGGGGTGGTGGAAAGTACAGTGCTGCACTCTGAGGAGGGTGGTGGTGGAAAGTACAGTGCCTGCACTCTGAGGAGGGGTGGTGGTGGAAAGTACAGTGCCTGCACTCTGAAGGAGGGGTGGTGGTGGAAAGTACAGTGCCTGCACTCTGAAGGAGGGGTGGTGGTGGAAAGTACAGTGCCTGCACTCTGAAGGAGGGGTGGTGGTGGAAAGTACAGTGCCTGCACTCTGGGGGAGTGGTGGTGGAAAGTACAGTGCCTGCACTCTGAAGGAGGGGTGGTGGTGGAAAATACAGTGCCTGCACTCTGAAGGAGGGGTGGTGGTGTCAAGTACAGTGCCTGCACTCTGGAGGAGGGGTGATGGTGGAAAGTACAGTGCCTGCACTCTGGAGGAGGAGTGGTGGTTGAAAGTACAGTGTCTGCACTCTGGAGGAGGAGTGGTGGTGAAAAGTACAGTGCCTGCACTCTGAAGGAGGGGTGGTGGTGGAAAGTACAGTGCCTGCACTCTGGAGGAGGAGTGGTGGTGAAAAGTACAGTGCCTGCACTCTGGAGGAGGGGTGGTGGTGGAAAGTACAGTGCCTGCACTCTGAAGGAGGGGTGGTGGTGGAAAGTACAGTGCCTGCACTCTGAAGGAGGAGGAGTGGTGGTGGAAAGTACAGTGCCTGCACTCTGAAGGAGGGGTGTTGGTGGGAATTTAAGTGCTTTCACTCTGAAAATGGGCTGGTGGTAGGAAGTACAGTGCCTGTACTCTGAAGAAAGGGTGGGGATATTTACAGTTTGGATGTACATCTGAACTGTAAGCTCATACCCTCCTCTCGCAAGACAGTGATGGAGAAAGTGTTTCTTCTTTATTTAGTCACCTTACCTTAGTGGGAGATGGCTGGTATGTTTAAAATAATAATTCTTATAATTATAATTAATTATAATAATGTTTATAATAAAAGACTATAAATATTCAATTAAATTTTGCGGGTTTACCAGAGGCTGACGCTTGTTGTGAAAATACTGAGGTCCCCTGGTACAAGAAGGTGGACATTAGGTCGTATGCAGGCCCGGGTACAAGAAGGGGTACTTGTAGTGTCATATGAGGTCATCTGGTACAAAAAGGGTGGTATTGTATTTCGTACGCAGGTCATCCTGGTACAAGAAGGTGGCACATTATTTTCAGTACTGCAGTCATCCGGTACAAAAGGGGTACTTGTAGTGCAGTACGCAGTCATCCTGGTACAGGTTTGGTACTTGTAGGCAGCTGCGGTATCTTGGAGCAAGAAGGTGGTATTGTAGTGTCAGTACTGCAGTCATCCTGGACAAGAAGGTGACACTTGTAGTGTGAATATGCAGGTCATCCTGGACAAGAAGGGGGGATTTGTAGTGTCAAATGCAGGCATCCTGGTAACAAGGTGACATTGTAGTGGGGAATATGCGGGTCTCGGTTTACAAAAGGTGCACTTGTAGTGTGAATACGCAGGTCATCCTGGTACAAGAAGGTGGTTACTTGTGTGTCAAACGCAGGTCATGGTACAAGGTGACCTTGTAGTGAATAGCGGTCTCCTGGTACAAGAAGGAGGTATTAAGTGTCTTACTGAGGTCTCCTTTTCAAGTGACACTTGTAGTGGAATCTGAGGTATCGGTACAAGAAGGTGGTACTTTGTAGTGTCAATATGCAGTCATCTGGTTCAAAAGGGACACTTGTAGTGTGAATATGGGTCATCTGGTACAAGAAGGTGGTATTTGTAGGTCAAACTGCAGGTATCCTGGACAAGGTGAAATCTTAGGTGAATACTGAGGTCCCTGGTACAGAAGGGAGTACTTGTAGTGTCAATACTGCAGGTATCCTGGTACAAGAAGGTGGTACTTGTAGTGTCAATTCTGCGGGGTCATCTGGTACAAGGGGGACACTTGTAGTGTGAATACTGCGGGTCATCCTGGTACAAGAAGGTGGTACTTGTAGTGTCAATACTGCAGGTCATCCTGGTACAAGAAGGTGCACTTGTAGTGTGAATACTGCAGGTCATTCCTGGTAAAAGAAGTGGTACTTGTAGTGTCATACTGCAGGTCATCTGGTACAAGGTGAATTTAGTGTGAATACTGCAGGTCATCCTGGTACAAAAAGGTGGTACTTGTATAGTGTCAATACTGCAGGTCATCCTGGTACAAGAAGGTGGTATTTGTAGTGTCAATACTGCAGGTCTTTCCCTGGTACAAGGTGACACTTGTAGTGTGAATACTGCAGGTCATCCTGGTACAAAAAGGGTTTGGTACTTGTAGTGTAATACTGCAGGTCTCCTGGTACAAGAAGGTGACACTTGTAGTGTGAATACTGCAGGTCATCCTGGTACAGAAGGTGGTACTTGTAGTGTCAATACTGCAGGTCATTCCTGGAAACAAGAGTGACACTTGTAGTGTGAATACTGCAGGCCCATCCTGGTACAAGAAGGTGGTACTTGTAGTGTAAATACTGCAGGTCATCCTGGTACAAGGTGACACTTGTAGTGTGAATATGCAGGTCATCCTGGTACAAGAAGGTGGTACTTTTTAGTGTCAAAAACTGCGGGGTCATCCTGGTACAAGAAGGTGGTACTTGTAGTGTAAATTTACTGCAGGTCATCCTGGTACAAAGGTGACACTTGTAGTGTGAATACTGCAGGCATCCTGGTACAAGAAGGTGTACTTGTATTGTAAAATACTGCAGGTCATCCTGGTACAAGAAGGTGACACTTGTAGTGTGAATATGCAGGTCATCCTGGTACAAAAAGGGTGGTACTTGTAGTGTCAATACTGCAGGTCATCCTGGTACAAGGTGACACTTGTAGTGTGAATACTGCAGGTCATCCTGGTACAAGAAGGTTACTTGTAGTGTCAATACTGCAGGTCTTGGTCGAAGGTGGTACTTGTATGCAACTGGGGTATTCTGGATCAGGTGAACTTGTAGTGTGAATACTGCAGGTCATCCTGGTACAAGAAGGTGGTACTTTTTAGTGTGAATACTGCAGGTCATCCTGGGTACAAGAAGGTGACACTTGTAGGGGTGAATCTGCAGGTCATCCTGGTACAAGAGGTGGTACTTGTAGTGTCAAAACTGCAGGTAAAACCTGGTACAAAAAGGGTGACACTTGTAGTGTGAATACTGCAGGTCATCCTGGTACAAGAAGGTGGTACTTTTTAGTGTCAATACTGCAGGTCACCCTGGTAAAAGAGTGACACTTGTAGTGTGAATACTGCCAGGTCATCCTGGTACAAGAAGGTGGTACTTGTAGTGTCAATACTGCAGGTCAATCCTGGTACAAGAAGGTGACATTGTAGTGTGAATACTGGCAGGTCATCCTGGTACAAGAAGGTGGTACTTGTAGTGTCAATACTGCAGGTCTCCTGGTACAAGAAGGTGACACTTGTAGTGTAAATTTACTGCAGGTCATCCGGTACAAGAAGGTGGCACTTGTAGTGTCAATACTTCAGGTCATCCTGGTACAAGAAGGTGGCACTTGTAGTGTCATACTGCAGGTCATCCTGGTACAGGAAGGTGGTACTTGAGTGTCAGTACTGCAGGTCATCCTGGTACGGGAAGGGGGTACTTGTAGTGCAGTACTGCAGGTCATCCTGGTACAGGAAGGTGGTATTTTGTAGTGTCAGTACTGCAGGTCATCCTGGTACAGGAAGGTGACACTTGTAGTGTGAATACTGCAGGTCATCCTGGAAACAGGAAGGTGGTAACTTGTACTACAACATCAGTGTCAAGAAGCTCCTGTAAGTTCTGCAAATACTATAATGTATTTATAGTGACAACACTGTTTATGATGTTTATACAGTGACAATTCTGATTATGAGTTTTATACAGGGGACAACAGTGATTTTATGATGATTATACAGAGACAACAATGATTATGATTGTAAAACAGTGACAACATGTTATGATGTTTATACAGTGGCAACACTGATTATGTTTATATAGTGACAACAGGTGATTATAATGTTTTTTACAGTGATTAGCACTGTTTATACAGTGACAACACTAATTATGATGTTTATCCCAGGGGCAACACTAATTATAATTGTGTGTACAGTGACAACACTGATTATAAAGTTTATACAGTGACAAAAACAAATTTTAATGTTTATACAGTGACAACACTAATTATGATGTTTGTACAGTGACAACACTAATTATGATGTTTGTATAGTGACAACACTCCAGTGTAATTCATTTACACACTAACAACAGTGTTAATAGTGATAACACTGTAAAAAATAGCTTAGGTAATACAACACTTTACACTGTCAAAAAAACACTATCATATGGTTCATGTGTCATAAATATCTGCTAGTGTTATCCTTCCAATCTTGAGAAAACTATTTCCCCTACAGGATTACTGCTTGGTATTCTTAAAATAATAGAATAATACAAGAATATTAGTTTTCCTCTGTAATTTAAAATTTCTCAAATATCCCCTGGTTAAACAATTTAAAATGTGTGAGAACTTATAGTTCACTATGTCTAAAAAACCTGAAAAACCAATGTGTTGAGGCAACACAAATGTACGTTGTTCATGTAGGAGACCAAAATTATATCAACATTCACACTCATCACTAAAACAATCTTCACAACAACTTCAGTGTGGATGTCAGACCAAGTGTAATATAGACAAAAAAAATCTTTCAGTGTTCATTGTGTCTAAAAGAGTTTTCTAAAAACTGTTACTATCTACGGCACTTGAGAACTCATCCTGGGGAGAAGTCATATCAGTGTTCAGAATGTCTGAAAGACTTTTCTAGAAAACCATATTTAATAAGTCCCCATTGGAACTCATACTGGAGAGAAGCCATTCAGTGTTCAGAATGTCTGAAAGACCTTTCTAGAAAATCACATTTAGTAAATCACATGAGAATCCCCACTGGAAGAAGCCATACAGTGTTCAGAATGTCTGAAAGACTTTTCTAGAAAATCACATTTAGTAAATCACATGAGAACTCACACTGGAGAGAAGCCATATCAGTGTTCAGAATGTCTGAAAGACTTTTATCACAAAGAAGATTTAGAAAGACACATAAGAATTCATACTGGAGAGAAGCCATATCAGTGTTCAGAATGTCTGAAAGATTTTTCTAGAAAATCACATTTAGTAAATCACATGAGAACTCACACTGGAGAGAAGCCATATCAGTGTTCAGAATGTCTGAAAGAATTTTCTAGAAAATCGTATTTAGTAAGTCACATTAGAACTCATACTGGAGAGAAGCCATATCAGTGTTCAGTATGTCTGAAAAAATTTTATCACAAAGAAAATTTAGAAAGACACATAAGAATTCATACTGGAGAGAAGCCATATCAGTGTTCAATATGTCTGAAAGATTTTTCTAGAAAATCTCATTTAATAAGTCCACAAGAGAATCATATTATAGGAAAGTCCATATCAGTGTTCAGTATGTCAAAAGGACTTTCCAGCAAAAGTGGTTTAGAAGGACATTGAAATTCATACTGGAAGAATCCATTTAAGTGTTCAGAAGGTCTGAAAGACTTTTCTCAAAAAGCAGGGGTTGATAATTCACAGAGAATTCATACCCGGAGAGAAGCCATTTAAGTGTTCAGAATGTCTGAAAGACTTTTCTAGAAACCATATTTAATAAGTCACATGAGAACTCATACTGGAGAGAAGCCTTATCAGTGTTTCAGAATGTCTGAAAGGACTTTTATCACAAAAGTAGATTTGAAAAAACATGTAAGAATTATTTCTGGAGAGAAGCCATATCAGTGTTCAGAATGTCTGAAAGACTTTTCTAGAAAATCACATTTAGTAAAAACACATGAGAACTCATACTGGAGAGAAAACCATATCAGTGTTCACAATGTCTGAAAGAATTTTCTAGAAAATCGTTATTTAGTAAGTCACATTAGAACTCATACTGGAGAGAAGCCATATCAGTGTTCAGTATGTCTGAAATATTTCATCACAAAGAAAATTTTGAAAGGCATATAAGAACTCATACGGAGAGAAGCCATATCAGTGTTCAGAGTGTCAGAGAGACTTTTCTAGAAAATCATATTTAGTAAAACACGTGAGAAATCATACTGGAGAGAAACCATATCCCAAAGTTCAGAATGTCTGAAAGACTTTTCTATAAAATCATGTTTAGCAAGTCACATGAGAATTCATACTGGAGAGAAGCCATAAACATGTTCAGTATGTCTGAAAGATTTTTCTAGAAAAAAACTCATTTAGTAAAATCACAAGAGAACTCATATTATAGGAAAGTCACATCCGTGTTCAGTATGTCAGAAAGACTTTTCCAGCAAAAGTGGTTTAGAAGGACACTTGAGAATTCATACTGGAGAGAATCCATATCAATGTTCAGAATGTCTGAAAGACTTTTCTCAAAAAGCAGGGTTGGTAATTCACATGAGAATTCATACTGGAGAGAAGCCATTAAGTGTTTCAGAATGTCTGAAAGATTTTTCCAGCAAAAGACATTTAAAAATACACACAAGAATTCATACTGGAGAGAAGCCATATCAGTGTTCAGAATGTCTGAAAAGCTTTTCTAAGAAATCACATTTAACAAGACACATGAGAACTCATACTGAGGAGAGGCCGTATCAGTGTTCAGAATGTATGAAAGACTTTACTAAAAGATTTCAGTTAGAAAGTCACATGAGAAGTCATACTAGAGAGAAAGCTTTGCCAGAAGTGATGTCATGTTTCATGCACTAATATTTCTTCCTCTACCAACACTGATATTAAAGTAGGGAAGTATTTTTGGGTCTGCTTGAAAGCAGATGATAGTGGGAGCATATTACATACCAGACGACAGAAACAATAACAAACTAACATTGTTTTGGAGAAATTTTAAGCCATGGCATCAGCAAAACAGTTGGATAAAGTGTTCAATGTTCTCAAGAGTACTGTGCACAGTGGCACAGAGCTCAAGGCTGGAGAAAGTCATTATCTCCTTTACCACCACTAACAATACTCCTGTCACAATTCATAAATATGTTTCAGTTCTTTCAGTAGAACTGTTCTACCACATACCATAACTCAGTGTGGTTTCCTAATGTGTGATACAGACATTATGAAGCAACTCAAACTCCATTACCTCACAATTCTTAAAGTTGACACTTGCATACTACCTGCCCCTATACGAAGATACTATCCTTGTATTATAGCCAAGTTAACTTTTGACCCGCTGTGAACTTACGTCATCTGTTTATATATCAAGATGCCACTAACAAGTATGGAAATTTATCCCTATGTAGCAACAATGTAGAAATTGTGGTACTTTTCCTCTTCAAGGGGGGCTCCTTGGCGTGGTGAAGAGGCTCTTGGTCTGAGGAATTAGACCTGTTGGTCTCCTTCCTCAGACTGAACCTAATTACCCCCCAATGCCCCCTCCCTTATCCCATCCTCACTTTTTCTTTTCCTCCTCCTCCTCCCCACCCCTCCCTATTACCCTTCCTCTTTTTGGCCTTTTTTTTTTTTTTTCTCACAGGCACACTAGTTCCTGGGTAGGAGAAAGGGTACTGGGGTCCATCCCATTCCATTGAGGTTCTTGGCGGTGGTGTAGTTTGCTGTGGAATTTGGATCGCCTGGGGATGTTCCAATCCCTCTCCAGTCTCCCAGGGAGTGGCTTTGGGTATCTTTCGGGCGATGGGTGTATATCTTTAGGCTGCCTTTCGGATTCTGGAGGTGGTGGCCAAAGGAGGTATGCTTTGTGGCGAATATCCAGCCGCCCTCTCTTTTGTCCACCGAGGTAGCTCGGCAGATGTGAGGTTGCTATCCCGGATTGCTGGTTTACTGGCATGATGGGTAGGGTATGGCACGGGTTCCATGCTGCACCTGCACTACTTGTGGAGCTGAGGTCCTCTTGGGCATGGAGGGATATTTCTGGCCCTCTTATTCCTCCCAGGAACTATCCCTCCCCAGGCCCCCCTTTTTTTATTCTTTTTTTTATTTTTATTTTCTTTTCTTTTTTTTTCTTAAAAACAAAAAGAAAGAAGTAACCTAACCATGGAAGCCCTAGTCCATGAACCTGCTACCCCCAGGCCCCTTCTTGATACCGCACCCCATTCTGACCCTGTCTCGTCTTTGGACCACTCTTCGGACACTCCTCATGCCTCTGTACCTCTTGCCTGTGCTGTTTCCTCACCCACTTCAGGTACTGAGGTCCCGACTGACTCCTTTGATTTATCTGACCTCCGCTCTCCTTTGACTATGCTTCCGGCCTCTCCCTCTACCGTGCTGCAATTTTCGAATCGCCGGCCCATTCCACATCAGACCAACTCTGGTCCCACACCTAAATGCCAACGACAATTACCTGCTGATGATACTTCTCCACCTTCTCGTTCTTCTCAGAAAAGATCAACACGTCCTGCAATCCCTTTCCACGCTCAGTTTCAGAATGCACAATGGACTAAATTCTTCACTTTATGACCGACTTCCTCTATTGCCTATCTTTCCGACCATAGTATTGGCAATGCACTCTTACGCCATGTTGGTAAAGATATTTCTTCTCGTGCTCTTAAGAGCTGTACACGCATCATCACTGTACAGAATTTTACCCAAGTTCATGATCTTTCTCATCTTTCCCATATCGATACTGTTTCTGTCACTATTGAAAAACATCATTCCCTCAATTCTTGTAGTGGTATCGTCATTCTGCCCCATACCATAGTTCAACAAAATTTCCAGACATGTGGCAATGACATTCTTGAACAGCTGGAACTCCAAGATCTCCCAATCCTCAAGGTAGACACTTATGTTCTTCCTGCCACGGGCGGAGACGATACTCTAGCAATGTGGCTCGTTTAACTTTTGACAGCCATGAACTCCCATCCTCAGTTTATGTAGCAGGACATCGGTTACAAGTTTGAAAGGTGATCCCTACACTGCAACAGTGTAGAAATTGCTGGCGATTTGGCCATCCAGCGAAATATTGCAGATCTACAGCCGAATGCCCAGTCTGTGGTGCCGATGACCATTCTAATACATCTTGCAATCGACCTCCCTCTTGCCTTAATTGTCATGAGGCTCACCCTTCGTACTCTCGCCATTGCCAAGTCTACTTAAATGAGCGGGAAATCCGTTACCTCAAAGAGGCAGAAGGTCTCCGTTATGCCATGGCAGTTTCTCATCTTCGCCTCCAAGGGAGACTACCTCGTGTTTCTTATTCCTGTGTTTCAAAACATCCCCCCACTTCTGGGGTACCATCTCCGCAGCCTCCTCTGTGGTTACCTCTCCCATAGTCACTCCTGCATCTAATTCTTTTGCTGTCCTGGGCTCAGACGTCCCTACTTCAACGCCTCCGTCTGTTCTCGCTTCTTTGTGTTCTCCCTCACAAGCCTCGGTATCGACAAGATCTCATACGACACCTTCTCCCAATCGTCCCTCTACTTCTCAGAAGTCAGAAAAAGGTCCTTTAACCCCTCCTTCCTTTCTTCCACCTCCTCATTTTACCTTCCTTGTCTCTGTACCTGGTTCTTCCCCTCTCACTGGCTCTGTTACAAGTGTAGAGGTTCACCCTCCTCCTTGTACTGTACCTTCCTCCCCTGTTCCCTCCCAAGTTTCTTCCTCTTCTGCCACCTCCCAGGTTTCTGCCTCTTCTGTCCCCTTCCACGCTTCTTCTCCAGTTCCCTCCACCCTTTTGGCCCCCCTACCTTGGTATAGTCCATTACAGTTCCAATCTTTACTCATCCTCCCCCTACCATCTCCAATATTGTCTCCCATACGACGTCTCTGAATTCCGAAACACTTGAAGCAATCTCTGAATATATTGCAGAGAGCAAAGCATCAGTGGACACTGATCCACCCTCTGTTCCTTCTCTCTCTTCTCCATCTGCACAACTTCTTTCTTCGCAGCGCACCGTTCCTTCACTGCTTTAACGTTTTTCGCTGCCTCCGCATGTGGACTTTTCTAACCCCTCTAGTCCGTAGGAACCCTTACCTGCGGATTTCAGGTATCTTTATGGTTGCCAATCATGGCCTATTTACAGTGGAATATACGCTGCCTCGGGTGATCGGGGGGAGCTTCAGATGTTACTCTCCCAGTTTTTCCCCTGTTGGTGTTTGGTGTCTGCCCTCTCTATCAACGAGCACGCAGAATTTACCTCCAATGTCGTCTCCACTCTACTACTCTCTCTTTACCTTCCCTTCTTGCTGAAGGACCCTCCTTTAATCCCGACTCTCTCATTGACTTCTTGACAACAACTGATTTACTCCACAACCTCTGATGATACCTTTTGCACTCCCCTCAGCCCTTTCTACCACAATCTCTTGCTACCCTCTACCCCTGCATTATCCACTACCCTGCTGTTCTCCATAACTAATCATCCCTGTCCCTTTTGCCACCTGATACCCTAGCTTCCTGCCCTGCAGTGCTGTATAGCCCTTGTGGTTTAGTGCTTCTTTTTTATTATAATAATAATTTGAAATTGTCCGAATGTAATATCGCCAAATTGTAATTTGAGTAAACTTACTCT